GTGCTGCTATGGTGCTGCTGGAAGCAACCTACATGCTAATTTACAATAGCCAGGTGCTGCTGGAAGCAACCTACATGCCTATCAGTAAATGAATAGATCAAAAAACTTTGGTATATTTATACAATGGAATACTGTGCAGCAGAAAGAAGGAGCTCGTAACCTTCATGACAGCATGGATGGAACTGCAGAGCATTATGCTAAGTGAAACAAGCCAGGCAGTGAAAGACAAATACCACATGATCTCACCTATAGTGAGATCAACAAAACAAGCAAGCAAAACACAACCAGATACATTGAAATAAAGAACAAACTGACAATAACCAGAGGGGAGGGAGGAGGGGGATAATAGGTGAAAGAAAGGGAAAGGTCACTGAGAAACATGTATAAAGGGAGAATGGACAAAACCAAAGGGAGGAAGGATTGAAGGTGGGAGGTGGGAGTGGGTAGGGGAAAGTGGTGGTAGGAAAATTGAGACAATTATACTTGAACAACAATAAAAAAGAAGAAAAGGAAAAAAGAAACAGACTATAGTATGGTGGTTACCAGAAGGTAGGAGGGTGGAGGTGCAGTGGGTGGAAGAGGGTGGAGGAAAGATTTGAGTTTGGGTGGTAGGCACACAATCCAATGTACAGAGCAAATATCATAAAATAGTACATTCGAAACATATAATTTTATTAACTAATGTCATCCAACATATTTAATTAAAATAAAAAACCTTAAAATATCTACTGTAAATGTTTATATCTACCTGGATTATTAACTAGAGAACTGGAATTTTATCTCTGTAGTTTTATTGAGGTATAATTATCATATAGCACTATGTATTTTTAAGGTATACAACATAATGACCTGCATTGTACATATTGACTTGCACTGTACATATTGTGAAATGATTATCACAATATGTTTTGTTAACATTCATCAGCTCATGTAGGTTTAAGAAACAGAAAAAAGAAAAAAAGTGTTTGTAGTAAGGACTATTAGGATCTACTCTTCAGGAGCTTTTAAATATAGCAGTGTAAAATGTAGTTATCATGATATACATTATATCCCTAGTACTTATTTATCCTTTAAGTAGAAGTTTGTATATTTTGACCTCCTTCATCCAACTCCCCCTGCTTTATTCCCACCCTTTGTAACCATGAATATAATCTTTTTTTCTATGAGCTTTGTTTCTTTACTTGTCTTTGATTTTAGAGTCCACATATAAGTGATATCATAAAATATTTGCATTTTTTTCACTTTACATAATGCCCTCAAAGTCCATTCACATCAGAAAATGGCAAAATGTCCTTTTTATGGCTGAATATTTTACTATATTCATTCTTCTCTATCCTTTCATTCATTAGATACTTAGGTTTTTTCAATTTCTTAGTTATATAAATGCTAGTATGAACATAGAGGTGCAGTTATTTCTTCCACAGTTTTTTTTTTGGGGGGGGAGTTGTTTATTTCCTGTGGATATCTTTTCAAAAGTGAAATTGGCCAAATGTTTACAGTTGTTTTATTTGTAATAACCCCAAACTGGAAACAACCCAAATTTCATCCAGTGCCTGAATAATTAAAGAAACCACAGTAAAATTGTCCATACCATAGAAAATTATTAAATAAAAAAAAATAACCCCCTCTTCAGAGCAACAAATTATTGCACCTGAAAAAGTGGGATGTATCTTAAGGGAATTATATTGAGCATAAAAAGCCTATCTCAAAATGTAGTGTATAATTCCATCTATAAAATACTCTTGACATGACAAAATGATCAAGAACAGATTAGTGGTTGCCAGGGTTGAGTGGGAAGCAGGGAGAGGAAAGAACGGATGTTACTACAAAGGGGTAGAACAAGGGGTCTTTCTGGTGTCAGAAGTTCTATATTTTTATTGTGATTGTAGTTACACAAATTTCATAAGATAGAATTATCTAGAATTACATAGACACATACACCGGTGCATGTAAAACTAGTGAAATATGATAAGTCCTGTGGATCATTCCAGTGCCAAAGCCGACACTTTAACTAGTATAGTAGTTATACAAGCCGACACCTTGTATAACTACTACTGTACTGTAGTTATACAAGATGTTACCAATAGAGAAAATGGAATGTAAGGCACACCAACTAAATAGAACCATAGGATATTTTTTCTGTAACTTCCATAAATCCATACTTACTTTTTTTTTGTCAAATTCCTCTGTATTTTCAAAATGTTTTTTAATTCTTGTTCAAGTACAGTTATCTCCATTGCCCACCACCACCACACCCCCACCCCAACCATCTTCACCTCCCACCCTCAAACCCACCTCCCTTGGCTTTGTCCATGTGTCCTTTGTGCATGTTACTTGATGGCCCCTTCTCTATTTTCCCTGATTATCCCTCCCCTCTGGTTACTGTCAGTTTATTCTTCATTTCAGTGTCTCTGGTTGTATTTTGCTTGTTTGTTTTGTTGATTAGTTCTAATTCTAAACATTTTTAAAGTCCCAGTAGAGAAAATATAATCAAAATATATGAATGGGCTGTTCACACAAAAGGAAATTTGAAGCTCCAAAATATTTGAAAGTCCTCAATATATTATAAAGGAGCTGTGGCAATGACCTTTCACATCCACTGGGCCCTTACCTGATACATATAAAACCACTAGCATCTGCATCTTAATTTAAGGCTCCAGAAACCTTATTTTGTTTTTTTTAAATATATTTTATTGACTATATTATTACAGTAGATCCATTTCCCCACTTCACTCCCCTCTCAGGTACATGACCCCTCACCTATATCCGCCCCCTTTAGTTCATGTCCATGTGTCATAAGTTCTTTAGCTTCTACATTTCCCATACTATTCTTGCCCTCCCTGTCTATTTTCTACCTACCATCTATGCTACTTATTCTCTGTACCTTTCCCCCCCTCTTTCCTCCTCCCACTCCCCTGTTGCTAACCATCCATGTGATCTCCATTTCTGTGGTTCTGTTCCCGTTCTAGTTGTTTGCTTAGTTTGTTTCTGTTTTTGTTTTAGGTGTGGTTGTTAATAACTGTTAGTTTGCTGTCATTTTACTGTACATGTTTTTTATCTTCTTTTTCTTAGATAAGTCCCTTTAACATTTCATATAATAAGGGCTTGGCGATGACGAAGTCCTTTAACTTGACCTTATTTGAGAAGTGCTTTATCTGCCCTTCTGTTCTAAATAAAAGCTTTGCTGGACAGAGCAATCTTAGATGTAGGTCCTTGCATTTCATGACTTAGCATACTTCTTTCTAGCCCCTTCTTGCCTGTAAGGTCTCTTTTGAGAAATCAGCTGACAGTCTTATGGGAACTCCTTTGTAGGTGACTCTTTCCTTTTCTCTTGCTGCTTTTAAGATTCTCTCATCTTTCATCTTGGGTAATGTAATTATGATGTGCCTTGGTGCGTTCCTCCTTGGGTCCAGCTTCTTTGGGATTGTCTGAGCTTCTTGGACTTCTTAAGGAGTAGTCTCCCAAAGGAAGTCTATTTCCTTTGCCAGATTGGGGAAGTTCTAATTTATTATTTGTTCAAGTAACTCTTCCACTTGTTGCTCTTCCTCTTCTCCTTCTGGTATCCATATAATTTGGATGTTGGAATGTTTAGATGTCCTGGAGGTTCCTAAGCCTCTCCTCATTTTTTTGAATTCTTGTTCCTTCATTCTTTTCCAATTGGATGTTTCTTCCTTCCTTCTGGTATACACGGTTGGTTTGAGTCCTAGTTTTCTTCCCATCACTATTGGTTTCCTGTGCATTTTCCTTCATTTCACTTAGTGTAGCCTTCACTTTTTCATCTAATTTGCGACCAAATTCAACCAATTTTGTGAGCATCCTGATTACCAGTGTTTTGAACTGCATCTGATAAGTTGGCTATCTCTTTGTCACTTAGTTGTATTTACTCTGGTGCTGTGATCTGTTCTTCCATTTGGGCCATTTTTTGTTGTTGTTGTCTTGCTGTGCCTGTTATGTATGAGGGGCGAAGCCTTAGGTGTTCACCAAGTGGGGCAACCCAGTGGCTAGGTTGTGACGCTGTATGTGGGGGAGGGGTCCAAGAGGGAACAGTGGTGCTTGCTCTGCTCTCTGATGGATTTCAGTTACTTCCCCCACTTCCCACAAGCAAATTGGGCCCTTCTGGTGCTGATTTCCATGTGGGTGGGTTTGTGTACATTCCAGGACCCTGTGGGTCTCTCCAATGAACTCTCCTGTGAGGCTGGGAATTTTTCCTGGCACCTCAACCCCCACAGTTGTTTTCAGACTGTGCTTTGAGGTTTTATTTCCCCACACTGGGTCCCTGGGTTGTGTGGTCTGTTGCTCCCCAGTTTTGCCTGGTTTATCTGCACGAGAATGTGGGACCGCCTGGTGTGCCAGCTGCTTTGTGCGGCATGCCCCTCTACAATCTGCTGCCTGGCTTGGTCCACCAGCTGCTGCCTTGCATGCCTGGGGTCCACTAGCCACCATTTTGCTGCAACCCCTCTCCGCCTGGCCACTGGACTCTGCCCCTTCTACTGGTCTGGATGAATGAGTCTACTTTAAATTCTTAGTTTTTGGACTTCCATACAGTTCAATTTTCTGTCAGTACTGGTTGTTTTTGTTTCTAAATTGTTGTAGTCCTTATTTTGGTTATGCAAGGAAGCACAGTGTGTGTACCTATGCCTCCATCTTGGCTGGAAGTCTTATTTTGTTGTTTTATTGTTGTTCAGCTATAGTTATCCTCATTTTTCTGCTTTTGCTCTCCCCTGACCCATCTAACCTTTTGGGTACATTGGAATTGCTGCTGCTCTGATGTGAGATACTATACTTGGGCTTGACTTGTTAGAACATTAATCACATATTATAGTATGCATGGATGATTTTTCCACTCAATCTGAAACTAACCCAATGCATTCAAATTTTTTTCAACTAGAGTGTCAGTTATCCCAAATACTGAATATTTATTTTGCTATTTTACTACTTTTAACTGGGAAAAATAGTATTTGAAATAAAAATTAAGTTAAAAATCAGATGGCAATGACAAATGCAATATACCGCTTATTTTTATTATCCTAATTCAAATTATGAGGACACAGTAAGCAAAGCATTATCTTAATTCAGGTTCATTTTGCGTGTTAGCAAAAGGAAGTCTCTGTAAATGTTAGTATCTGATAAAAATAAGAATCCACTTAAAAGTTATTTACATGGGTCCAGGTTTCCTGTACCAACTCAATTTATTTTTTAGAATAGGTAATAAACAAAAGCAAGAAATAGTACAAAAAAAGCAATAGAATTTTCACAACCAGATTTGTTACCACTGTCATATTTGCTTTAATTCTTTAAGAACTATTACAGGTAAATGTAACTACTCCCTCCCTACCTTTCCCATGCCCTAAAAGTAGAAACCACAGTAATATATGGATCCATCATCAATACACAGTACCATTCTCTGCATTATTTTATTATATTGATACAAATGTATCATATTTTATTGTACACTTTGCTTTTTACTCCTTTTATGTTGTAAACTATCCAGGCAACTATGTCAAATTTGCGTTCTGTAAATACTGTATTATATCAAATAAGTAATCACATCATAATGATCTACCTCTATACCATAGAAATTTATGCTATGCCCAATTTATAGTAATACAAAGCATAATACAGTAAATATGTATCTCTTTGTGCATATATATTGGTGCTAATATGACAATATACCATAACAGAACACAGTGAACATATATAGTTTTTGAACACATATTTGGGTGCCTCTGAAAACAATACACCAAAATAGAATTGTTTCATGTGTTTTTTAAAAAATATCCTGTTACTCTATAGTAATAAATACATTATATTTTCATCATAGTTTTAGAATTTTGTTTTTTATATTGTTCTTTAATCTATTTGAATTTTACTTTTATATATGGTATAGAGAGCTAATGTTTCTTGTTTATATTAATCTTCCACTTTCCAATAGGCCATTCCTTCTCCAATGATTTCCATAGCACTGTCATACACAAAATCCACATATCTTTTTTCTTCAATCCTCAATTTGTTCCTAGTGATTTACTCATCAAGAACACATTGTTTAAATGATGCAGTTTTAAATAAAGTATGTGATATCTAGTAGACTATTTTCTCTTTTTTTGTTTTTAACATTTTCTTCAGCTACTTACAGTACTTTACATTCCAATATAAAATTTTGAATCAGCTTGTAAAATTTTTAAATTATAACTAATGAAAATTCTGAGTAAAAGTACTTTACAAGTATGTTAGAGATTTGTAAGAAAAAATATTGTTTATAATGCCAAGACTTTTCCATGGTATTTTTCCAAAATTTTAGCATTATCTAATGCTCTTCAAAATGTGATACATAATATTCATTGTGTCTATTTCTAGATATTTTATATCAATACATTTTCTAATTATTTCTCATATTAAAGTTTATTTTTATAGTTTCTTTTCCCCTTCAATCTTTTTCTTGATAATACATTGGCTAGGAGCTCAAGTATCATGTTGATAAGCTGACAGAAAATAACTTGTTTTAAGCTTTACTGCGAATGATTAATAAATAGCAATAGATATCTGCTAAAAGTTTTGGATAATCAGCTTTTTCACTACACAATTTGTAACCTTGGCAGTAATTCTCATATTTCACAAATGTGTGACTTCTTCAAAAGCTTTCCCATATGCAGTTTTTGGCTCTAGAATCAATTATGTAATATGTTAGAAGGTGCTAATTCCTTCTGAAGGTGTTTCCATATTCACAATATTGATAAGGTTTCTATTTCTAATAAGTATGAATTTTCTGGTGTCTAATAAGATGTGACTTTTGACTGAAAGCCTTACCACACTCATCGCAATGATAAGGCTTCTCACCTGTATGTTTTCTCATATGAAGTGTAAGAGATGAGATTTGAGAGAAGGCTTTTCCACATTTACTACAGTCAAAGGGTTTCTCACCTGTATGACCTCGTACATGTATAGTAAGGGATGAGCTTTGAGAGAAAGCTTTTCCACATTTATTACATTCATAGGGTTTCTCACCAGTATGACCTCTCATATGTACAATAAGGGAAGTTCTTTGAGAGAAAGCTTTTCCACATTCATTACATACATAAGGCTTCTCACCTGTATGACTTCTCATATGTAAATTAAGCAATGAGCACTGAGAAAAGGATTTCCCACATTTATCACATTCATAGGGTTTTTCCCCTGTGTGACTTCTCAGATGAAGAGTAAGGGATGCAATTTGAGAGAAGGCTTTACCACATTTATTACAATCATAAGGTTTCTCTCCAGTGTGAACTTTCTGATGTGTAATAAAGTTTTGCTTTTGGCTGAAGGCTTTACCACATTCATTACATTTATAGGGTTTCTCTCCAGAATGAATTTTTTCATGAGCAATGAGATTTGATTTCTGGCTAAAGGCTTTCCCACATTCTTTACATATATAGGGTTTTTCTCCAGTGTGAATTCTCTGGTGTCTAACAAGATTTGACATCTGAATAAATGCTTTCCCACATTCATTACATTCATAAGGTTTCTCTCTAGTATGAATCTTTTGGTGTGTAATGAAGTTTTTCTTGTGGCTGAAGGCTTTTCCACATTCCTTACATTCATAGGGTTTCTCACCAGTATGACTCCTCATATGTACAGTAAGGGCTGAGCTTTGAGAGAATGATTTTCCACATTCTTTACATTCATAGGGTTTCTCACCTGTATGAATTCTCATATGTATAATAAGCATGGAAAACTGAGAGAAGGCTTTTCCACATTTATCACATTTATAAGGTTTTTCTCCTGTATGACTTCTCATGTGAAGACCAAGAGATGCAATTCGGGGGAAAGCTTTACCACATTCATTACATGCATAAGGTTTCTCCCTAGTATGAACTTTCTGATGTGCAATGAGGCTTTGCTTCTGACTGAATGTTTTTCTGCATGCATCACATTCATAAGGTTTCTCTCCAGTGTGAATTTTTTCGTGATCAATGAGATTTGATTTCTGACTGAAAAATTTTCCACATTCTTTACATGCATAGGGTTTCTCTCCAGTATGAATTATTTGATGTCTAATGAGATTTGACACTTTAATGAAAGCTTTCCCACATTTATTACATTCATAAGATTGTTCCCTAGTGTGAATTTTCTGATGTTTTAGGAAGTTTTCCTTCTGGCTAAAGGCTTTTCTACATTTTTTACATTCATAAGGTTTCTCTCCAGTATGAATTCTCAGGTGTCTGATTAGGTCCAAGGTTTGACTAAATCCTTTTCCACAATTATCACACTTAAAAGGGGTTATTACAAGATTTGATAAGCTATTGCCAGATGATTTTATGGGTTCATTATATCCACAGTATTCCTTTTTTATAAGAATTCTCTCATTATTTTGACAGTCAAAATTACATTCTAGACATTTTCCAAATAAGTTATAGTCATGAAGGTTGTGACTAGAAGAAAAAAAGTCTGAATTTGGAGAAAATGAATCAGAAATTTTTTTATGACATTTACTGAATTTTTCTTCAGTTAGTGCTTTTATAAACTTATCTTCAAGTTGTGTCAAAAGTTTGTCCTGTATATTCTGATGGTCATCAATTCTGCAGATTTCTCCTACAACAGAATACAAATAAATATTACTTATAAATTCTTCCAATATTATAATAGCAAGAGGATTTCAAAAACATGCTATTATAGGATTGATTCATGGCTTAAGGCCTAGTTTCCCATTATTAAGTAAATTCCAGGTATAGATACCTCCTATTTTCTAAGTTTTAGAAAATTTCAGAAATGTAAATATGAGTAGAAGCAGACATTTATGAATACAAACAGATTTGATTGCTTTTAAATGGGATCTGAGAGAAAATGGATTAACTGTTGAATAAATTAAAAATGCAGAATTTACAAGTAAAGTAAGAAGAAATAATAATAAAGAAAAAAGACAGGAAGTAAAAATCATAAAATTTAGGACTCTACTAAAATACATTATTGCACATTGTTTGATATAAATAATTTCCTAGAAAATGTAAATGACAAAAATGACTCTAAAACATATAGAAAATCTAGTAGACCAATTTCCATAAAATAAACAGAAAAACATAAAAAGAAATCCCCTAAAAACAAAATAACAGAGGTTCACATGGAATTTTAACAAATATTTGAGACAACACTAATGTGCAAAATGTTACAAAAGAAAAAAAAAGAATTTTCACTTTTGTGTGTGTGTGAAATAAGAAATATTAATACCAAAACCTGACGAAGATGACAATAAAAAAAAAGCAAATTATGTACCAATTTCACTCAGGAATTTCAAAGTAAAAATTCTACATAAAATATCACAATGACCTGGAAGAAAAATAAAGCACCCAGAAAGCACATTAAATATAAGATATATCACACATGAGCAGATTTTTTTTCCCAGGAATATAAGTATGTTTCAATATTAGAAAAATTATTTACTCTCAGTAAATTGGTCAAAAGTGAAAAATCAAGAAATGATTTCCAAAAATATTAAAGAGATGACAAAACTCAGCATTTGTATTGCATTAAAAAATAACCTTAAAATTGGACTAAATACTTTATTTAACTTGAGAAATAAAGTACAGTGCAACTTAAACAAAAGCACCATAGTTAATGGGAAAATTCCCAAAGCATGCACATTAAAGTCAGGAATAAGATGAGTACTATGCCACTATTATTACAGGACTGAACAGTAAGTTAAATAAACAAAAGGTGTACAAAGTTGGAAAGCAAAGGTAAAATTAACATTATTTGTCAACAATAAAACAATTTACCTGCAAAATCAAGAGTCAGTTGACTTTTGAGAATATAGGTACCTCTATGTTCATTAGAGCATTATTTATAATAGCCAAGATATGAAAACAGCCCAAGTACCCATCAGTAGTTAAGTGGATTAAAAAAAAAAGCTGTGGTGTGATATATTTACACAATGTAATACTACTCTGCCTTTAAAAAACAAGGAAATGTTATATTTTGCAACAGCATGGATGGACCTGGAGAATATTATGCTAAGTAAAGTAAGTCAGTCAGAGAAAGACAAAAACCATATGATCTCACTTATCTGTGGAATCTAATGAACAACATAATTTAGCAAACAAAACAAACAGAAGCAGAGATATATAGAATGGACTGACAGCTATGACAGGGGAGCTGGGTTAGAGGGCTAGGTGAAGAAAAGGTGAAGATATTAAGCAAAATATGTATAAAACACACAGACACAGACAACAGTATGGTGATAGGGAAAGGGGATTGGGGGAGGTGATAAGGGGAAAAGACGGGATAAATGTGGACAAAAAAAGACTTCACTTTGGGTGACTGTTGCATAATGCTGTATGCAGATGTTTCACTGAGATGTACACTTAAAGCATGTAGGTTTTTGTCAACCAATGTCACCTGAATAAACTCAATTAAAAACTTTAATGATTAAATCATTCCCATGGCAATGAAAATAAAACTAAAACTTTAAAAATATTAACTTTTTAAATCTAGATGTACTTTTTTCCTTTTTAAAATACTATGTACTATATTTTTGCCATTACCATTTGTGTCCTTAAATGCATCTTGCCCCAGAAATCACCACCCTGTTGTCCATGTCCATGAGTCCTTTTACTTTTTGGCTTGATCCCTCTACCCCACTACCCTCCTGCCCCACTACCTGGAGGTGTGTTTTCCATCTATGAGTCCGTCTCTGTTTTGCTTGTTAGTTTCATCTGTTCATTAAATTCCATATGAGTAAAATCATACAGTATTTGTCTTTCTCTCACTGGCTTATTTCACTTAACATAATGTTCTCCGGGTCCATACATAATCTTGCAAAGGGTAAAATTTTCGTGTGTTTTTCTTTGAGTAGAATTCCATTGTGTAAACGTGGCACAGTTGTTTATCTACTCGTCTACTGATGGACACTTGGGCTGCTTCCATATCTTGATGATGGTAAATAATGCTGCAATGAACATAGGGGTGCTTATTTTCTTTTGAATTAGTGACTTGAGTTCCTTCAGATATATTCCAAGAAGTGAGATCTCTGGGTCAAAAGGCAGATCCATGTTTAATTTTTTGAGGTATTTCCATACTGCTTTCCACAGTGACTGCACTAGTTTGCATTCCCACCAACAGTAGAAAAGAGTTCCCCTTCTTCCACATCCTTGCCAGCACTTATTATTTTTTGATTTATTTATGATAGCCACTCTGACAGGTGTGAGATGGTATCTCACTGTGGTTTTTATTTGTATTTCTCTGAGGATTAGTGACGTTGAGCATCTTTTGATATGTTTACTGGCCATCTCTATGTCCTCTTTGGCGAACTCTCTATTCAAGTCCATTGCCCATTTTTTAATTGGGTTGGTTTTTTTGGTGTTGAGTTTTGTAAGTACTTTATAAATTTTGGATATTAACCCCTTATCAGATGTATCAGCAAATATGTTCTCCCATTCTCTGGCTGTCTTTTTATTTTGTTGATGATTTCCTTTGTTGTGCAAAAACTTTTTAGTTTGATGAAGTCCTATTTGTTTATTTTTTCTTTTGTTTTCCTTGCCTGGGGAGAGATATTCACTAAACAATTTCTATGAGCAATCTCTGAGATTTTGCTGCTTATGTTTTCTTTTAGGGTTTTTATGGTTTCAGCCACAGCAATCAAATGAGAAGGAGAAATAAGAGGCATCCAAATTGGCAAGAAGTAAAACTACCTTTACCTGCAGATGACATGATACTGTGCATAGAAAACACCAAAGACTCCATCAAGAAACTACTAGAACTGATAAATCAATTCGACAAAGTAGCAGGGTACAAAATTAATATTCAGAAATTAGTTGCATTTTTATATGCCAATAATAAACTAATAGAAAGGGAAATTAAGAAAATAATCCCATTCACAATTGCTTCAAAAAGAATAGAATACGTAGGAATAAACCTAACCAAATATGTAAAATACCTTTACTGAGAAAATTAGAAGTCACTGAAGAAAGAAATTGAAGAAGATAGAAAAACTGGAAGCACATCCCATGTTCATGGGTAGAACAGATTAATATGATTATTTTAACTTTTATTTAAGAGTCCACATAAACTTGTAACTTTTATTTTTATTATTTTCAAAGAGAGTCAATTGAAAAATAATTATAAAAATAAACTCACTAAATTCACCATATATAGCAAATATTCAGTTTCAATATGCTTCATATAAACAACTATTTACAAAAATAAAACAGAGGATTACACTTGTAAATGTAATAAAAATATTAAAATATGGAATAAATTTAACTAGAAAGGTCCCAAAATTATAAGGAAACTTTAAAATCCACACACAGATTTGAACAAATACAGATGTGCCATGGGTTGAACTATGTGCCCCTCCCCCACCCAAAAGTATGTGTGGAAGTCCTAACCCCCTGGAACCTCAGAATGTGAAGTTATTTAGAAATGGAGTTATCACAGATATAATAAGTTAAGATATAGTCATAGTTGACTAGGGTAACCCCTAAATTAAAATGACTGGTGTTTTTATAAAAAGAATAATACATGAAGAAACAGGAACACAAGACGAATGCCTTGTGAAGGTAAAGACAGACTGTAGCTATTATGTCACAAGCTAAAACAATTTCTGGGGCTACCAGAAGCTGAAATGGGCAAGGAAGTGTCCTTCTACAGGTTTCAGAGGGAGCATAACCCTCTGACACCTTCACTTAGTATTTCTAGTCTTCAGAAATGGTAGAATAAATTTGTGTTATTCTAAAGCCACCCAGTTTATGGTACTTTTTTATAGCAGTCCTATAAAACTAAGGTAAAATGCATATCACATTCTTGGAAAAGAACATTCAACAGCAAAGATGACAATTATCACAGGATAACCTAATAAATTAAAGTGGTTTCAATAAGAATGTTTGAAAATACAATTAAGTAATAGCTCAAAGGAACTACAGTTTCCTGATGCTAGGGTTTCCACTGTGACAGGATAGCAAAAAGCTAAGAAAATTCCTGGCAACTAGAATAGGGAAACTGAGACAAGAAAATTAAACAAGGCCAAACAGTAATTTACAGCCAGCTGGTAAATCAAACGACCTTATCTCCCCTAACCAGGGACACTTGAGAGTGAATGCTTTATATCACCTTGGTCTGGGAACATAAAGAACAGAGGCCCAATTAATGTCATTTGTGCTAGCTAAATAACAACAACACCACCACCAAAACCACTGGGAGCCAGACTCAACATAAAAATAAAACAAAATAGCAGACCAGAGAATAATTCCAAACTTCCCATGTGTTCATTTTGAAACAACAACATATTAAAAATGTACCTGGAAAGTTGATAAATATTCTGCTGAAATTCTCTCCTAAGATTCTCTACCACAGGAAAAAAAAAAGATAAAAAGCCCTTAGGACAAAGACTCAGCACAGGCTCTCTCTAGCGTATTCCATACCCCTTCCCAGGCATGAAGTTTTTACTTTCTCCTAAACTCTAAGGGGCCCCATGAGACTTGCAGCCAGGGTAGCAGCAGGCAGCGGCAGCTCAACCTAGGCTTACCCTGTGACCCTATCTCCAAGGCCCCCTTTTTTTCTGACTTCCCAGTGAGCTAAAAGAAGCCCTGCCTTGGCTTACT